ATTCTGACGCTATTATTTCCATTGTCAATAATGTATAGATTAAACAACGCATTAAATATTTTTTAATTTTTTAGAAGTTACGCTCACGCCTTCAGTTAAATTATCTCTAGTTTTAATGTAAGAGTCGTTGTGAACCGAACTTTCCGAGCACAAATAGCGATGAGATTTAAATTTTACGTTTTTTTCTTTAGCTTTTTTCTTGCATTTATTCGGGTATTTAAGGTATATTTACTTGAAATGTTCACAATATCGATATATGTAAATATTTAAAACAAAAAAAAAATATGTCAATGGCATTCAATATCGCCATTTCTGTAAATTATACATCTTCTTCATTATCTTAGTTATAATACTAAGCATTAAAAAAAGCTAAAAGAGCCAGGGAATAAAAAGAGATTCTATTATATTAAAGTTATCGCGCGTGCGAGCTTATTAACAACAATATATAAGCGCGGAAGGAAAAGTGCCTTCTTGTAAGAACAAAAAGAAAAAAATAGCAAAAAATCGATGTACTATTTATAACGTAAATTTGAAATTTGTCAAATCTGTATATTTAATTTTTTCAGCCTGCTTCTCTTTATAGACCATTCTAATCTAATTGTTATAAAATTTTGGTAAAACTCCAGCTGTTATCGCTTCTAGCTGGTCTCGCGTTTCGTTATCGTTATTTAATACATGTAAAATTATTTTATTTCTCATCCGTTAGATTTATTATCCGCGCAGAGAAAGAGAGAGAGAGAGAGAGAGAGAGAGAGAGAGAGAGAGAGAGAGAGATTAGATGTGTAAAAGTAAGAAATAATATCGACTTGAACAAAACTCGAAGATATAGATAGATTTTTTCTTTTCACACACAATTATTTCACGCGCATAAAATTTTGTAAATTTCTGAGCACCGAAGTAAAAAGTAATAAAAATAACAATTAGGAGGAATTACTATATTTATTATAAACGATAACTTTTATAGTCTAAACATCGACGACCCATTATAATATATGGATCGCTATTTTTCTCCTCGAATATTTTTCTCTTCAATTTTCCACAATCGCAGAATATCTTCGTGATCACACGTAATAACTTGGCTCGAAGAGCCTCCGCACCGCATACACTTGATGTGTGGTGATGCTCAGAAATTACGCTAATCTCATTCGGAAAATGAGTACTTAACATTATGGCAATATGTAATAAATGTATATTGTCCAAAATATTAGACAGTAAGTCGACGGTAGATAATTATACGATTACTCTAATGAAAATATAAAATATAACATTAAATGTAATTTGTAATATCAACGTCATGGTATTAAAGAGCACGATTTTTTCTTCCTTCATTATACAAAATTCTGAATGCTCGGATAAAAAAAAGGAGGAAATCACTAATGCACATCTTTTATATGATTTCATAAAATGTCGCGACACAAATGAGGAGGATCCAAGTTTATCACTCAGAAGAAAAGGTACACATATGATATATGATAATTAAATCAATTTTATTTCGTAGCAACATCTCGACTCGATAATAAGTGAATACTAACATCGCCTGAAATCGTCGATGCTAATTGGGTTTTCCCTTTTTTATTCGACATTTGATTTTATCGAATCGGTAGAACGTTTTCTTCCATGCTCTCATGGCAAGTCACGAGTGTCTATTTGCAATTCAACATTTACACGAATGATAACAGTGTTGAGCATACTACCTACATTTACAGCTTGTTAGAGAATCGCGAGATACATTCACGAAGAGCTATCTCTGCTATTTTTGTATATACTATTCATGTTTTACAAAATCTGTTCTTTTTAGCAGAATGATTGCATCTTTTCTTTTTCTCATATCGGAGAAAAAAAGAGAAAAGATAAATTGTGCAAGAAATTCAGCAAAAAAGAATAGATCCACAATTTTAATCCCTTCAAATATCTCTGTGCGTATTCTAAATTTGGATAAAAGAATTTATTTCTATCTTCGCCTCTTATTTCGCCATACATCGCAGTATGCTCGCACGTAGATTCGAAAATAGAATATACATGTACACACACATGATTATGCGGAAATTTGTATAAATAAATGTCAATGTGTGTAATTATATTCCTTTGGTATCGGACATTTTATTAATTCAGGGACAACGTATGATATAACGTACTTGATGCTAAATCTATGCACATCAAGTATTATTCATTTTTCTTCGCTGATCCATCCTTCGGGCGATCCTTAATAGTTGCCTGCTTCTTGTTCTCTAATACTTGCGCCTCCATCTCGCCGGAGAAGCCAAACTCGTTTACTCGAGTATGATCGGTCTTGTATATCCATCTTTGGTACAAAAATATGAAGAAAACAATATCGTCGCGGAAGCAGCCGATCCTGTACAGCGTCGGCATCTTTATCACAAATGCAAAAATATCGTCGATAAATGTGTTCAGGAATTTATACGACAGCATACGCCATGGAAGATGCGCGACGCTCTTCAATTTGTAGTTGATGAACAGTTGCGGCGTCATCATGATGAATCCGAAGGTCAACAGAAATCCGTACAACATACTGAGAATCCAGGAATACCATCCCTTATGTTCCAGATACATTAAAGAATAAATTGCGTATCCTCCCAACAGAGGGTACAGTGCCCACGAGAGATATTTGAAGGCAAGTCTGTCATACTCTTTCGTAGAAGACTCTACGTACGATCCTTTATCTTGGAATGATATTTTCGGAAAGATTCCGAATACTTTCATTTCTCTATTAATATTAATATCTATAACTTTGTTGATCTTCCACACTTCAATGCAAAGACCTATCGCGCAGCTGATGCGCACGACCGTGTTCGTCTCGTTATCCAAAACGTAAAGGAGAACGACAAGAGACTGGAATACATTGAAAAACACAGAGCGGACCGATAAACCTTCCAAGGATTTTCGATTGTTCCAGAATTGAATATCTGAAAGGTATAAGATCCTTAGATTGCGGTAGTGCAATATATGTGATATACGTTTCTATTATTCGTTAAAGTTTTAAGAGCTTACCGTTTTTAAATGCTAAAAATTCAAATACGCTATGTAAGATTGATACAATTATAGTCAATCCTAGTAGATATGGATTCGTTTCAAGCAAAGTCTCTTTTAGGGTATCTTGATCGTTATCATCGTCGTCAGATGCTTCTCCTATGTGCACAATGATAACAGATGATAAAACTTACTAACAATTTTCTCTTTCTTGAATGAAATAATAAAATCAATAATAAATTAATCTAGATTATATGAGTAAATCAAACAAGAAAACAGCCAATACGGTTAAAGCTAGATATTGGAGTATCTAATATGTTTTTATATGTAAATTCTATACATATTTCAATTATATAAATTGCACACCGTTCAATGTCGGACTTGAAATGCAATCGTATAAATTGAAGCTGAAATAATATTGTAATGAAATTGACAGTCGATTTAATTATGCTACCAGTATCTTAAAACACTGAAAAAAGAACTTGTTATAAAAAATATTACCTTATCTTGAATGAGGTAATATTTTCTCGACCCTATATTAGCTATTTTCTTACTTATTTGAAGTAATAGAAACTTCGTTTTAATTTCCATGATTTTTGAAATATAACAAACCCATGAACGACGACGTCCATTTATTTCTAACGGACTGAGCCGCGTATATTTGCCATTTGAATAATGAGAGTGGCTGGTAAGTCAACCTGAGTTCCAAATGCTCTACTGTATCATTTAATGGTTGATAGTCCCGCTGCATGTTCCAAAAATCATTCATGTACAGTATTGGCTTGTAAAAATTTCCACCAGGTAAGAAATGTATATCTAAGAGAAGAACAACAAGGAGTGTTTCTAGTACACAGATCTGCATATATAATGTAACTAATATTTATAAACTTACATTCATCCAACGGCTGTGGTACTTGACCATACACCCAGTTGGTTTCATCAAACACTAAATTAACAGTTAAATTTGGATGCCAATGCGACACATATTCCTGATCCATTAATTCAGCTTTCTGCAAGACATTTAACATAAATAACATTAACTTATGGTGAATTCAGTCACTCACATTACATTGGATTAGTACACACATTAAAGGTTGCTTTTGGTACTACAAATTTGGCAAAATAATTAAAATATACATACTGCCATTTCTTCTTTGCTGGCTGTGCTCTCACCAGTCAACAGGTTGTGCCTTTTCTGATATCTAATTTTCTTATATTTATTTAACATTTTTCTAGAGTAGGATACATAGTCGCCAGCGTAAACACTTTTGCCAGCTTTGGGATTCGGCGACTTTCCGCTTTTTGTTATATATACGTGCAGGTAGATCGAGCCATTTTGCTTTAATCGCCCGGAAGGAACAAATGTGTGCTCGAGCACTCTGGATCCATCCTGATTCGGTCCACCATACCAATCTCCATAAACCAGACCCTCTTCGAACCAAATCAAAGATTGCCGATCGTCAAATCTTTTAAAGTTCTCGGACTCCGACAGATAAACACTAAGGTCAAATAACGTTCCATTTGAAAATATATTTACAGCTTGTAAACGCGCGTCGCCAACGGCATTGGGAGACTTTGGATTATTATCGGAACGTCTAAAGAGGCTACTAATAAAATAAATTATAAGAGCTCGTATGATTAAGGATTTTGTTATGGTAAAGAACGATTCTAAGCGCGACTGCTGTGCCTTCTGCCTCTGCTCATTATTCTCTGCGTTCGCCTGCAAGAAACATCGTCAAATTATAATTCACTCTCTACAAATACTCGTATATGTCGGTACGACATGAAATCGTGGCAATTTATAAATAAATTTTAATATCCACGACTGTACCTAATTATGTGGTATTGCACAATCTTTCATTAAAAATAACAGAAGAAAAAACTCATGTTTAATTTAAAAAGATGATGTAAACTCCCTATGTACATTCTCAAGACACTTCCTTGTGGAACAACCGTGAAAAAGGAGTAAACAAAATGAATATAATACAACAAATTAACGCACTTCTGTCTCGTCGTTATTTTGTTCGGTTCTTGGAACTAGTTCACCATTGGGCTGACTGTTATCCATATTTTCTGTAACATCTACTTCCGCGTTGTCACGATGATCATCCCCAGTAACTACCATCTTTTTTTGTCAAATCGTCAGCTCCCATCACTCCCAATACTCCCATGCATGGCGGAATTAAGGTGCCTTTTCATGATGATGCTTGACGCTCGACTTTAAACGGATCACGTGATGAAAAATTAACGAATATCATGCGTCAATTTTGATCACGTGACCTTAAAGAGGAGAACACCAATGGCTGCGTTCAGTTAAACAGTTTTGCACCGTTTTATGATTATCTGTTGAGATAGAACCATTTCTTTAGATCTTAAAGTATAATCCAATCAATGCAAAGAAAACTTCTCACAGTTGCAAAATAAACGTGCGTTCTGCTGAACGCAGCCAAATAGTTTGCTTTCCATTTACATCAATTCTCAGATAATTCTTAATTGTGACGTCATAATTCAGTTGAACGCGTTCCTTTTACATTCTGACAAGTGAGATTTAATTGAGTTTTTGCCTATAATCTGTACAAGAGCGAGACCAATCGATGCTTTAGTGAGTCTCGTAAACTCACTTTAAAAGTTAGATTCGAACCTGTGTGTCATGTGATAACTTGTTTACCTACTAAGCAAACTAAGCAAATAATGACATCATTAATCTGAGTATGAAACACTCAGCTCACTGCAATTCAGGTCAAAAACTCGCCACAAATGCTTTGGACCAATTAGAAGAAAGACTTTTACAAACTGACTAATTAAAAAACGCTTCAAAGCGTTTGCAGCATCGTATTGACCATATCTTCAGTTTCACTTTTGTGCAAATGGAAAGCAACTATTGGCTGCGTTCAGCAGACTCAACAGTTGAATAAGCGCTCACTATTATTATATTCTTTCAGATCTAAAATGTTGATTGAATGATCTAAAAGAATATATCAATAACAGCGAGTTCATTCAACTGCTGAGTCCGCTGAATGCGCTCATTGATGGAAACATTAAGACGATAAAGTGTCATGTAAAGGCACCTTAACATTTATTTGCATTTTACTCTGAAGTTCGAATCGCGTTAGCATGGCTCGCAAATCCAGTAATTATCTTTCTGCATGCGCGGGTGTATGACGTCATCGGTTTTTTTTTAACAAACTGTGTGTAGCCGCTACATAAAAGCAGGCCCATTCGCATGGAATATGACAGATTTCCCGCGTATAGTATCGCGCGTGTATAAACAATTCTTTGTATATATATATTATGTAGTAGTCTAGAAGCGTTATTTTCGGAATTTTATTGATGTCAGTGCAAAATGAATATAACAAATGTTATTCAACGACGGGAGAGAGGATTCGGTAAATAAACATAAGCGTATATATCTTATGGGGAGATTTAAACGACCGTTTATTTTGCACAAGTGCAGGTTATCTATGTTGTAATAAAATCAGTCAGATTGATCTTTTTAAATTAATTTAGAATGTAATTTAAATGTTGAGTAATCGATGAATCTTTAATGACGAATTTGATTGACGTTTTATAACTACAAAATAGAGTATTAATGACATATATTATAATGAAAGAAGATTGATTGCTAAGAACATAATTTGCTATCAATATTATTTCTATCTGCAAATTTTGATGATACTCTAGATAGACTGATACATTTTATATTTGTAGAAAATTAAAATATTATAAAAATAGTTTGTTATTATCCATTACTGCAATAATCCAATAGAATAAATGAAAATTAGTAAAAAATTAAAGAAAAAATAAATTAAATAATTTAAATAAATGATTAAATTATGTCTATTAAATTTTAATAATACACTAATTGCTTGATGTTCTATTCAGGAATGATATGTGATTACGACATTGCCCTTTATCGCTTGAAATGCTACTATGACGATGTATATCGTGGAATAACTCCGAATGTAAATGCAGTTGATTACAATCCTGAGCCACCGGTGTTTGCATGTCGTTTCTGCACCACACCAGGATATGAGGAGATTCTTGCCTTGGCAAATGAAGATGGAAAAGTCGCTTTTCAAGATACTAAAATTAAGAATGAAAATAATCTACCATTAGAGGGAACACAGGTTGCCTTTGATTTTGATTGCAATTTAACAAAAATAGTGTTTCTTAGTATCAGCAGAGAAATATTAACGGGAAATATGTATATTTTTCAAGGCACACTGTAATGCAATCTTCGACATTGCCTGGATGCCTGGGGAGATGAAACTAGTTACAGTATCAGGAGATCACACAGCACGTTTATGGGATGTCACTGGGCCTGAAATAAAACAAATTAAATGCTTTCATGCGCATACAAGAAGCGTAAAAACTGCAGTATTTCGCGATGATGACAGAGGTACAGAGGCCTACTCATCAATGGGTTACAAACATTTATATTTTTTGAAAAAAAAATACTGCTTTGAAAAAAAGCCAAATTTTCTTTCTATTTTTCATATAAAGGACAAAAATATATCAACGCTTTTTTTTATCTCTTTCATGATCTAATTCTTTATGTTCATTTATAAATCTGCATAAAAAATTTAATGTGTAATTTGGAATATCTCAGAATTTTTCAAATATTTTTAGCTGTCTTTGCAACGGGTGCTAGAGACGGCTTCATCATGATATGGGACATCAGAGCCAATCACAGTGATGAACCTAAGCCAGATAATTGCATTGCTAATGCACACAGTTATGGTAGTGTCAGTAACACAAGACGGAAATCGCACACTCAAGCATCACGAGCGCATAGTATTACTGGTTTAGTGTTTCAAGATGATTTTACACTAATCTCATGCGCTGCAGGCGACGGGTAAGATTGCTTCTTATTGTGTATTTGTGTAGGAATTATAATATATATAAATATATAAAT